TTTGTCCCCTTTGAATTTATTTGGACACTGTTAGAATTTAGCTCTAAATACTCACTTTAGCATTGTATGCAAGCACATGATCTATGCTAATCACTGATTGTTTTATTTTCTTTTATAACTATATTTGTGTTGAAGTCTCTGGTTGTAACCACAGACTCCTCTCTCTTTTTACTTTAATTCATTTATTTTTTCTTATATTTTTGGGGGACAAAGAAGGAGCTGAACATTGTTGACTGGATGGATGGTGTTGTTAGAATCAGGTTATAATTACTCACTTTTGCATAGTATGCTAACACACGATCTATGTCAGCCCGGCCCAATAACCCCCCCAAGCAGAGGGGGCTTTTAATCAGCCGGCCCAGGAAGTAAGCAGGACACAAACTCACTTTCCATTCGCAGAAGTCTGAGCTGTTAGCATTTGGTTAGTTAGTTTTTTTTTTTTTTTAGCCGTTGCCATTTTAGTTCAGAAATTATCTCCACCGACCATGAGAAAAAGTTACTTTTTCGTGTTTGTCCCCTTTGAATTTATTTGGAAACTGTTAGAATTTGGCTATAATTACTCACGTTAGCATAGTATGCGAACACACTATCCATGCTAATTACTGATTGTTTTATTTCCTTTTATAACTATATTTTGTGTTAAAGTCTCTGGCTGTGACCACAGACTCTCTTTTCTCTCTTTTTACTTTAATTTATTTATTTTTTCTTCTATTTTTGGGGGACAAAGAAGAAGCTGAACGTTATTGACTGGATGGATGTTGTTGTTAGCATTTGGTTATAATTACTCACGTTAGCATAGTGTGCTAACACATGATCTATGTCAGCCCGGCCCAATAGCCCCCCCCCAAGCAGAGGGGGCTTTTAATCAGCCGGCCCGGGAAGTTAGCAGGACACAAACTCACTTTCCATTTGCAGAAGTCGAAGCTGTTAGCATTTGGTTAGTTCGTTTTTTTTTCTAGCCCATGCCATTTTAGTTGGTAAATTATCTCCACCGACCGTAAGAAAAAGTTACTTTTTCGTGTTTGTCCCCTTTGAATTTATTTGGAAAACTGTTAGAATTTGGTTAAAATGACTCAGTTTAGCATAGTATGCTAACACACGATCTATGTGAATTACTGATTGTTTTATTTCCTTTTAGGACGATATTTTGTGTTGAAGTCTCTGGCACAGACTCCTTTCTCTTTTTATTTATATTTATTTATTTTTTCTTCTATTTTGGGGGACAAAGCGGAAGCTGAACATTGTTGACTGGATGGATGGTGTTGTTAGCATCTGGCTATAATTACTCTCTTTAGCATAGTATGCTAACACACGATCTATGTAGATTACTGATTGTTTTATTTTCTTTTATAACTATATTTTGTGTTGAAGTCTCTGGTTGTAACCACAGACTCCTCTATCTTTGCACTTTAATTAATTTATTTTTTCTTCTATTTTTGGGGGACAAAGCGGAAGCTGAACGTTGTTAGAATCAGGTTATAATTACTCATTTTAGCATAGTATGCTATCACACGATCTATGTAAATGACTGATTGTTTTATTTTCTTTTATAACTATATTTTGTGTTAAAGTCTCTGGCTGTGTCCACAGACTCTCTTTTCTCTCTTTTTCTCTCTCTGTTGCATTAGATCCACCTTTAGGTCAACACACACACACACACACACCACTTGTTAGCACATTCCTGTCATCTGCATGAATTAGGACCTGGCCTGTTCCTGCCCAGAGGTAACTGGCCAATAGGACTTGGTTGTGTCCAGTCTGAGACCCAGAGAGAGGTTTTTGTCTGTCAGAGCCAGCTGATACATTTAACTGTGTCCAATAAATGTCATTTTTATACTTTTGATCCACTCTGGTCTATTCTCAGGCTTCCAACTAAAGAATCGGGCTAACATTGGTACAACAAAAAAGCAAAAACAAGGCTTAAAATGACCAAAAAAATACACCAAAATACAAAAACCAAGGCTAAATTGACCGAATATACACCAAAAAGCAAAAACAAGACTTACAATTATCAAAAAATGCAGCAAAAAAGCAGAAAATTGAGCTAAAAAGACCAGAACTCTGGTTTATTCTCAGGTTTGCAACTAAAGAATCGGGCTAACAGAGCTGCTGATGTTTTCCCTCTTTCTATTTATGGTAAAACCGTTTCGTCTTCTGGCCGTTCAAGACATTTGCTCACTAAATTACTGATTTGCTTTAAGTAGAAACTGTTCTGGTGTCATTTTTCCCACGATGTTAGTGGTACGCAATCAATTAATCATGATTCTCTAATAAGGAAATTATGAGTTTCTGGGAAAAAAAGTATCAAAAAGCAAGAAATTAGACTTTATTTTTGGCAGTGAAGTGTTTGAGATGAAACTCTGGACTGGAAACAATGTGAAACAAACCTGAAATAAATCGTTTCTGGTCTTCTGAAAACCTCATTCATGCTGAATTAGCATTATGACTCACTCTGAATCATGTCCAGTCTCCTCATTTAGAGGCAAAATGTCAATGACGGCATCACATTCTGATGAATCAGTGATTCTGCAGCCTCTTTCCTCCCCGAAGAGTCCTTAGTTTCTGTTTCATGGAGACTTCCGACATCAAATTGTCGTATTTAACAAGCTTAGTCGTATTTTCATGGCTAAGAAGGATAGCTTTCCAGCTCCTGTCCTGTTTTTTCCCCCCCATAGGTTGGTGCGAAAAGTTGTCCAAATATATAAAGAAATATATAAAAAATTAAAAAAAAATAATAAAAATAAATAAAATAAATAAAAATAAAAATAAAATAAAAAAAATGAAAAATAAAATGTAATAAAAAATAAAAAATAAAGAAAATAAAAAATAAAATAATAAAAACAAAAAATATATAAATAAAAACAAATATATAAATAATACAGCTAAAAAACAGGCGGATCTGACCAAAGCCTGAGCAGAGCAGAGACCACTTCCAGATGCAGTAAAAGAAAGCAGAATGATGGATGGTCTGCATATCAACCTGCAGAAGGGTTGAATGCTACCAGGTCAAACCAGTCAAAAATGGGCTCCTGAACAGGTGAGAACGGGCTGGACTAAAAAGACAAACTTCCACACGGTGGGTATGGATTTCTGAGGAAAAACTCCAACCTCAGGAAGGCACGGTGGTGTGGTGGTTAGCAGGAAGGTTCTGGGTTCTCCAACCTGTTGACCCAGGAGGACCTGAGATGGTTCCTCAGATGATTCCTCAGATGATTCCTCAGATGGTTCCTCAGATGGTTCCTCTGAGGATCCTCAGATGA